TCCCCCTAAACCCTTGTAGCCGTAACCATCTGTGGGACTAATTGTACCCACGGGGATAGAGCCCTGGAGTGATTCGGAATCCCAGAGCTGTGCTCTCCTGGATTGGAAAGACAGAGGGTCAGAAAGAAAAGGAGACTGGCTGTGTCCAGTGCTGCTGCTGAAGGCAGAACTGAGCTGTGTCCAAGTGAGTGCATTATGGGCCACTTCGGAGTGATTTCAAGAGCATGTGAATGAATGGGTGTAGGAGGTAAAGGCACCTACAGCTGCTTGAGAGTGCACGGGAGACTTTGAGGAGGAGGCAGCGGCCTACCTCTAGGATCTTAATTACAGAGGGTAAATACAGGATAAACTCGAAAGCCTGTGGCTGAAACATGATGGCTCATCTTGTTTGTAAGCCTGACACTCTTGGGAAGAGGGAACTTCAATTGAACTGTCTTCACCAAATTGGCCTGTGGGCTTGTCTGTAGGGGAATTTTCTTAATTGATATAGGAATATCCAGCCCAATTTGTAGGCACCATCCCTAGACATGTGTGTCTAGGCTGTATGAGACAGCATTACTGAGCAAGTCAAGGGGAGCAAGCCAGTAAGCCGTGCTTTCATGGGCTCTGCTTTAGTTCCTGTTCTGAGCTTTTGCCCTGGCTTCCCTCAGAGATGCACTGTAACCTGTAGCTAAAAGCAGTCCTTTCCTCCCCGTGTCAGAATCGTTTTTAATCACAGCAACAGGAAAGCAAGCTAGAACACACTACAAAGGAGCAATGCACCCCATAACCTTGAATGCAATCAGGTGAGGTCACAGCACCAATGACCACAAGCCAGGCTAGTTCCCAAGTCTGAGTGGGAAACAGCGAAGGGAAGCAACAGGCCTTCTGGGAACAGATGAGCCCCAAGGACTGAACAGGTACACCCTACCAGGCACAGCAGGCAGATTTAAACAAGGGTCGGGGAGAGTTGGGGGACCTGCAAACCAGCCAGCTAGAAGCTTTGTTTCTCAGGATCTCAGAAGGGACCTGCTTGACAGGAACCCGCAGTGAGGAGAAAGAACTGGGTACAGAACCATGCAGCATGAGGACCCTGGATAGAAAAAGCCCAGGCGTAAGAGGAGGAGACAGAGCCAGGAAAACTCAAAAACTTGAGGTTTTTAGGTGAAATACTTTCAAACACTTCACCAAAAGAGCTGAAGAGGATTCTGTCAAGCAAGCCGCCCTTCCAGAAGCTGAGGAAAAGCAAAGGGACGGGAGAGACAACAACAGATGCCTGTCGGCAGGACATTCAGGCGAGATCAAACTGGATGAAGGAGGCAAGAGGGAGAAACAGTGAATCCTAACTGCAGAAGGTTCAATATGAGGTGACAGATTTTAGAGAAGAAATTAAAAGAAAGCATCATTTCAGAAATGAAAACTAAGCCAGGCCTGTGATCCCAGCTACTGGGAGACTGAGGCAGGAGGATGACTAATTCCAGGCCTGGCCGGGCAACAGAATGACTACAATGCCAGCCTAGGTATGATGGCCAGACTTGGTCTCAGAAACGAAACAAAACACAAAATCAGTCTGGAGACAGTGAGATGGCGCTACAGGGAAAGGGGCATGTCACCAAGCCTGAGGATCCAAGTGCGACCGGCTCCTGGAGCCCACATGGTGGAAGAAGAGAACGGAACCTCACAAGGTACCCTCTGATCTCCGCCCTGATAACATGGTTGGTGTATGTGGATACACACAGAATGAATAAATACATTTTGTTTATTTGTTTTGTTCTGCTGGGGATATAGAGATAGTAGAATGCTTGCCTAGCACATTTGAGATCCCAGCCTCAATCCCCAACAGAGCAGAAGGGAAGGAAGGAGAGAAAGAAGGACAGATAGAAACTTCAGGAGGTAGGGCTGGATGGAGACAGCAGGTCATTGAAGGGAGGCGGGAACGCCTGCCCTTCCGCTTTCTTGGCCACTGTGAGGTGACTCATTTTCCTCTACCATGGACACATGAAGCTGTGCAGACTCAATGACAGACAGACAGCTGGGAGCCAAAGCAAACCTTCCGTCCGCAAGTTTTGTCACAGAGCAAGAAAAGCAACTCAGACACCTGGCAACCCAAGAATATGCGACAGGCCCTCATCAGAGCGAGTTCCCAGCACATGGGTCTCATACTTCTCAACCCTCAGAACTATGATAAATACACTTCTGTTGTTTATAAGCTGCATAGTCCGTGGCATTCTGTTACAGCAGTCGAAGAAGAGTACAACACTCCAGGTAACACACCTTATACCATAATCTCCTCTCTCATCAGAGAAGTAACTTCTGTTCTGAGTTTATTGTTCCTCACGTCCATATATGCATTCTGGTTTTCTTATACACATTATTTTCATACTGACACATATTTTATAAGAACAGGATCTATCTCTCACATACACTATATATACATATCTATGTGTACATAGATATGTATATGTGTGTATATATCTATATATAAAAACTTTTACAATTTTTTTCAACATTATGTTTTGAGCTTTATCCATTGCTCCAGTCCATTTGTTTTGCCTGCTGCCTGCTATTCCATAGTACAGTTTTCCTCTCTCTGTTCTTCTCGTTGTTAGATATTCAGATTGTTCTCTGATTATCATGGTACATAAACATTCTTGTACATGTCTAGTACATGTCCTCTTGGGTATATAACCACATGTTAGATTTCTTCTGAGAACAATACATAAACAATCTTAGCAAATAGCTCTTATTAATACTATCATTGCCCCATTGTCAGATCTCAGCCTACTGGCCTGTTTCTGTTTAGTAAACACAGCCTTAAAGACAGGGTAAGGAGTCAGACCTTTAAAAAAATCAAAACAAAAACTCAGACATCTGTTTCTCTTTGAACTGGAGAAGTGAAACTAGCCCACAGAAATAATAAATGTTGGTTGTTTTAACAGCAGCTGGAATGCCTCACTCAACTTAAGAGGCCAGGGACCGCTTCTCTACGTATCCTGACCACCAAAAGTCGTGGGCAGAGCGGGAGTCACTGCTCATAATTTCAGAAACAGAAGGTAGCCCTCTTCTACTTTGGCAGCAATCATTGAAAGAAAGAAAGAAAGAAAGAAAGAAAGAAAGAAAGAAAGAAAGAA